AGAAAATGGGCCTGGAGCAGCTTGTGATTCCATGAAGTAAAGATTCCAATGGCCAGAGCTGGAACAATTTGAGCAACAAAGTAATGTCAATGTTGGATTTGAATCCATAGAATAAAATAAATGTCCATGAGTTTATTAGTTTTTTGTTCTTGTGATATTACCATGAATTAATTTATCCTCTTAAAGCAATACCCATTTATTCCCCCATAGTTTCCATGGCCAGGAGTTTAGCTGGGCCCTCTGCTCAGGGTCTCAGGAGGCTGCAGTGTTGGATGGTCCTTGTTCCACCTGAAGGCTCAGCTCGGGAGGATCTGCCTCCAGTCTCTCAGATTATTGGAGATTATTCATTTCCTGTGCTTGTGAGGCCCTCGGGTTCTGCAGGCTGCCTGTCCTTGCCGCGTGGCTCAGTTCACTTCATGGAAGCCTGCTCTTCGAGGCCATCCGGAGCATGCCAGCGCAGCACAGACCTAAGTCCTCCTGTAAAGTCAGGCCTACCCGGATCCTCTCCCTGTTGACTATTTCAAAGTCATCCGATTCAAGACTTTACCCCTGCAGAATCCCTTTAGCCTCCTACGATTTAGGGGTGATATTTTATCACTTTTGTTATTTCTTTGCTTAGAAGCCAGGTCACAGGTTCTGCCCTCAGTCAAGAGTGTGGCTCACTGGCAGTCGTCCTGTAGTGTGCCTGCCACAGTGAGTTCCATGGATGGAAGCAGTCTAGTAAACACACACAGCGGAGAGTTCTTCTTTGCAGCAGACTCCTGTTAGTAAATGTGGAAGGAAAGAGGGAAGGAAAGGGTCGCCATTGGCAAACACCGCGGTGATGACTGTGCAGACAAGACTCTCCAATGGATGAAAAAGTTAGTGGGTGCAAGTTTGAGGGGACACAGGGTTTGCATCGCCCTTGAGATACTTACCATGTACAAAGGGCAAAATAGTGACTTGACATCAGAGGAACTTGGTAGGCACCAACTTTACCAAGTAATAAAGGTAAACATCACGTGACACGTGAGAATGTCTTGAACCCGTGGACGAATGAAGTGAGGATCTGAGGATGAGAATATCTGATCAGTGCTCTTCAAAAATGTCAAGGTCATAAAAGGAAAGACTGGTCTTTAATGACTGTAGGAGACTAAAAAATAACTCGGTGCAATGTGAGATCCTGGAGAGGAAAAAAGACAGTAAGTGGGAAATTGGTGAAATTCAAATAGGTCTTTAGTTAACAATATTGCACCATGTTAAGTTCCTTGTGGTAATTATTTGATTGTTATATATGATGAGAACACTAAGGGAATTAAGGGTTATAAGAGAACTTTTTGTCCTAGTTTTATAACTTCTCTCTAAGTCTAAAAAAATTAAAAATAAAAGTTTTTTTAATAAAAATTCATAGCATAACTTGTGTTGAGAGTCAAATGTGAAAGTCAGCAAAAAGTACAAATTCGGGTGACTTATTGATGTTTCATTCTTAGTTTGAGCAAAATCTTGCACACTATTGTATATGTATGGTCATTGGAGAATGGGAAAAACTTTTTATTGAAAAACCATAGGCCCTAGCCAGTTTGGCTCAGTGGATAGAATGAAGGGTCCTGAGTTCGATTTCAATCAATGGCACATACCTCAGTTGCAGACTGGATCCCCAGCCCTGGTTGGGGTGTGTAGGAGGCAACCCGTCAATGTGTCTCTCTCACGTTGGTGTTTCTCTCTGCCTCTCCCCTTCCCTTCCACTCTCTCCGAAAATTAATGCAAAAAACGTCCTCAGGTGAGGATTAGCAAAAAATAAAATAAAAAGTCATAGGATGGCCTGGCTGGTGTGGCTCAGTGGTTGAGTGTCAACCTATGAACCAGGTCACCATTCAATTCCCAGTTGGGGCACATGCCCAGGTTGCAGGTTCTATCCCCAGTGTGGGGTGTGCAGGAGGCAGCCAATCAATGATTCTCATCATTAATGTTTCTATCTCTCCCCCTCTCCTTTCTTCTTTGAAATCAATAAAAAATATATTTTTTAAAAATCATAGGACCTCTGCTGAGAATCAAAAGGAAATGGTCATTGGAGAATAAATGCCTAAGTGTAAAGTAGTAGAATTTACTCCAACTCATAGCATGGGTTTTTCCAGTTGTAATTTTTTTCCCATTGTGCTTAACATCTTTATAGACATAGACGAGGGGAAACATGGACTTTCTCTAAAACTGTTTTAATGTTAAAGCCTACTTAGAAGTTAGTTTGTTCACTGTGCATGGCAGTATTCTCTTTTAAAATAATTACCAAACCTTTATTTTACTTATGCCAAAAATATGTCATAAAAATCCATGGTTCTGAAGGTGTTTACTTAATTCGGTTGGTGCAAAGGGTTTGGAATTGTCTTCTTCACGTGGAAATTGGACACAAATGCATCTTCAGCACCGTGATTCTCAAAGGTCTTCTGATTCAGCATCTGCTCTAACTGGCCTATCCCTGGGCTTAAGGGAGAATGAAGGCATTTCTTAGTAACTATGACACTGTGATGGGAAAATGGGGGTAAAGGCAAATGGGGAATTTAAAACGGCTTGGGCAAACCCGTCTTTACCATGAAAAGTTCGTGTCTGTTTCTTTAAAGGATGGATTTAGTACATTTATTATCTCATGGCTTTAAACAGCTATGTCTTAGCGCCAGCCAACCAATAGCACTGCATGGGTGTGGCAGGATTTTATGAATTCATGATCTGGGTTTCAAACAGCCTTTTTTCTTTTTAGTTGAATTGCCTGTAAGAGCAGTGCCCTGGGCATGCATCGTGTAGGTGGTGGTGTCCTCTGTTAACGCAGAATTGCAGTTTGTTTTCACTGTCGTGAGGCTGTGCATCCAGCCGTGCAGAAACAGTCATTGTGATGTGAGCACTTATCCTCGGGGAGCCGATTCCCCGGTGACGTTTTGGAAGTCAGGATTTGGCTGCAGAGTTCTTTAAATTTCTAAATGGACTTTGGGTTGGGGCCTTGGGGTAGTTCATAGGAAAGACGTGACCCACAGCAACTGCTGTGTACCTGTAGCCAAGTTGGTGACCAGTGTTTCCCCTTGAAGTTGTTTCGTCCAGAACGTGAAGTGTTTACATTTGATTATTTGGTATTCATGCTAATTTACTCCACCTGTCTGAGGCAGTGGCTGGTCCAGGTCTGTGCTGCTAGTCTGGTCTTTCATCCTTCAGTTGTGGCTCTGACTTAGGAGGAGCGCCTCCTAGTGGTGACTGGAAATTCAAGTCTTGCTTTTCACTTTATCTGAGGACGAGAGTGGCAGCTGACCCCAGGAAGGCTCAGAAATGCATTCATAAGTTTTACATTCTTTTCTAAAAGTGAGACGCCGAAACTCCCAAAAACAATGAGAATTTTTATGATTATATTTTAACAACTATTTCTAGCCTGTCTGGGTGGAAAATCATTTTCCCGCCTCTCTGGCTGTCACAGATGCAACCGTTTCTAGAACTAGTAATGAGTGACGTCCTCAGAGACTCAGAACTCGCTCTTGCTGGTCTGGACTTGCTGCCTGGCCAAGCGGATGCCGTGGTGCCGACACAGAAGGTTGTCGTTCAGTGTGAAACACCAGGTTCTGCTCCTGACCTTCACAGGGTCATTGGTGGTGATCACAGTACATTAATTTCATTCTCTGTGCAACTGTGGTTCTTCTCAGCTCTGTCCAAAGTGGAGGAGGCGGTCCTGTGGTGTCAGAGCCACTACTTGTTTGATCTAATAGGCTCAAGTCTCCATACCAGGGAGATAGTTATGTATATTTTTGTCTTTCCAATTTATTTTAGCAAAGGGAGGCGCTAGAACAGTGATGGCGAACCTTTTGAGCTCAGCATGTCAGCATTTTGAAAAACCCTAACTTAACTCTGGTGCCGTGTCACATATAGAAATTTTTTGATATTTGCAACCATAGTAAAACAAAGATGTATATTTTTGATATTTATTTTATATATTTAAATGCCATTTAACAAAGAAAAATCAACCAAAAAAATGAGTTCGCGTGTCACCTCTGACACGCGTGTCATAGGTTCGCCATCACTGGGCTAGAAGATAAAATAGCGTGCCTTGAGGTCTATGCTAAGTTGAACTGCCTTTTTTATTCTATATTTTTATTTTAGAAAATACATCTAAACCTCTGAGCCAGAGAATTGAGATCATCAAGTACCTGTGATGATTCTTAAATTTCAAAACCTGTCTCTGCCTTCACATGATTCATTGTCTCTCCTTAATTAATAAATAAGAAGCATCTTTTCCTTTGATTCAGATTAAGGGTATTAAATAACCAATATTTGTTATGCTAATGGAGGGATTAAAGGAGTAAAAGACATTCCTTTGTCTAGGAGCTTACCTTATAGTTTGAGAAGACAAACTGAACACACATTAGGTACATGGAAACCAAATAGATGTGATTGCTTTATTAGCAATAAAGATCAAGAGAGATGCAGATGCTATTTCCTTCTTTGGTGATAACTTACACTATATTTTGTAGTCCTATTATTATGTTTTTTAATGGAGATCTCCTAAGTTTATGTTAAATCTCTGATTAGTTACAAAGGGTTTTTAGACATCGGTTACTATTACAACATTGAATAAATATTAACAATGAGAAACTGTGGGCCACTATCACGCCTGCCCACTTAGAGACCAGATTAAACTCGGGAGGACGCATTTAGTTTGCCAGTCTTGGATTTTGTGAAAAGCAGTGAAGAAGGGTGTGCCGGGAAATTTCAGCTACTCATTGATTTGTCTCTGAGTTTGGGAACTCATCCAGTAAAAATTGAACTTTTCTGGAGGTCATTTACTAAATATGTTTATGCATCTTTCCTCTTCATTTTACACACCAAAAAAAAGGGTGAAATATTATGCTTTTTGAGCTCTTTTTCTATGTGGGGGGTTGTGCCTTTTGTGATAATAAAGATTAAATAAAAATGTAAGTGTGCCTTGGTGTCGCACAATTGCAGCATTAATGCAAAGGGTTCCTCATCCCTCTCCCCCTCCTGTTTTGCAGGCAGTCAGATGCCCCCCCAGCCACCTGGGAGCCAGTCAGAATCCAGTTCCCATCCTGCCCTGAGCCAGTCACCAATGCCACAGGAAAGAGGTGAGTCTTCAGTTTATGTTGGCCACACTTCTCATTGTGAGTATATGGGGCTTCTACGAATTTGCTTACCCATTCACATCCTTGTAAGTAATTTTAAAGGATGTTGTTTCCTCATCAGATGAACGAAACAAATCAGAACCTTACACGTAACAAAAAATATGGGGGAAAGGATGCTTTCTTGCAAATTGGGTGAAATTTTACCAGAGTACTGTTCAAGATTCAAAGCATATATATGTCTGCATAGCAGCCCGAAGCAGTTTATACATAACTCTAGTCCAATATTTGACTTAGCTGTGTAAAAATGACCATTAACGATTCAATTTGGATGGTGGTTCTAACGAGTAAAATGTTAGTGAGGGTGTTTACCTGATTTGATCAATATTTGTTCCATGACATTTAATACTAAAAGTTTAAACACACAGTAAGACCTTGTGTTATAAAATTACCGGATCTTAGAACTGGAACATCTTGAAAGATCAGGGAGTCCGTCACCTCCACTTACAGATAAAGAAAGTGGGGCCTTAGAGGTTCTTCCCTATGACTTCCTCTTTCTCAGAGGCTAGTTGGTGCCAGTGCCAGAGGAAAGGACTTTCCTGCAGCCCTTGAGCATTCACGTTTTCTTACACGCAAACCCTTTGACCCTCAGCTCAGTTCTGATGTTGACCTCCAGGTATCACTGCCTCTGGCCTTCATTTGTTGACGTCTGTGTATTTTCTTCCCTCCGGTAGCCAAGCGACTTTGGTTGGTGGTGGTGCAGTGATTTTAACCCACATTAGTGGAGATGGGTTCACAAGCCTACAGCCCCATCGGGTGCTGGGCCAGATTACTGCGCTGCTGGGAGTCAGGCTAGCCCCTCCCCCCACAGGAGGCCTCACCCTCCTGCAGTCCCCTCCCTCTCACACTTGCCCACAAGACAAGTCGGTAGCTTGGTAGCTAATATTAAAGGTTCCTGACCCCTAATGTTTATAATTATTTCTATATGAGTTATATATGACTTGCTACTGGTTAGAATTATAAGGTTCAGTTATTTTACAGGTTAAAAACTCAGTAGCATGTTGCTTAGAAAGTAATGCCAGTGAAAAGATGGCTTAGCCTTACCTACACATCATTTGTGTTGAAATGACTGTTTAGTAGGAATACAATGAAATTTTGATTTTTTAATACCTTTACATATTTAACATTTTTGTTATCATCTAATGTATAGTTAATACTTTCATTTACTTATCAAGTTACTGCAGTATGTTTTAATGATGGAATCGTTGATGGATGGTTTCCAAACTTTAGGGTGCATAAGGATCGCCTGGAGAGCATGTTGAAACAGGTTGCTAGGCCACACCCCAGATGCCTGTTTCTGTGGGTCTGAGGTGGGACACTTAACATCTGCATTTCTGACGAGTTCCAGGTGTTGCCGATGCTGCCAATCCGAGGACCCTACTTTGAGACCACTGCTTCCTAACGACACTATAATGAGTTTCATAAGTGTACAGTGTGTGCATTTGTTGCTCTAAACTTCCCTCTGTGGCTCCTATAAATCATTTTTGTAGCTCATCCTCTCTGTGTTGCCAGTTTGTGTGACTTCCTTGTGGAGCTGGCCATCCGGGAGATGTTACAGAAGTTCACAGGAAGCGCTGGAAGGCCAAGCGAGGGGATCCTCCCCAAGCTCCTTTCCTTGGCTGTGGTCTGCAGCTGCTTTGTGGTCCTGGGTCAGGAAGGAGGGAAAACGACTAGAGAAATTATCACACTGAGGTTGCCCAGGCCAGACCTGAGCTGAAACAAAGATATTTGTTATTTCACTTAATCAGTACTGAAACATCATTCCCACTGAGAGAATCCTCCTTCTTTTGCAAGCATTAAAGGATAAGAGGTACCTTATTTGAAAGCACTACAATTCTAACCTTTATCTCTACCAACTAAAAAGGGGAAAACCCTCCAAGATCTTCCAACAACGTCTTCCCCAACCCCTTCCAAATGACATGTGTTTAAGAAATTTGAAAATGTACAAAACCAAATGTTAAGGACGAAACAACAATGAGGAACCATAGTTAAATTAAGCTTTTAACTCGAATATATTAGCAAGGCAAAATCTAGGATTTTCCTCTGATGTCACTGTATAGAAACTACTGGGTTGATATGTCTGCTACTGTTTTCCCTCTGATTTTCTTTATTTTGTGTAGAGTGGTTTTGGTAACTGATAATCCTATATAATTAAAGCCTAATATGCTAAGTGTCCGGTCGTCCGGTCAACCAATCAAAGCATAATATGCTAATGATATGCTAAGGCTGCTCAACCTCTCACTATGACGTGCACTGACCACCAGGGGGCAGATGCTTGGACTGGTAGGTTAGCTTGCTGCTGGGGTCTGGCTTATCGGGACTGAGCGAGATGGGCCGGACACGCCCTAGAGCCCTCCTGCAGTCCCTCCCCGCTGGCCTACCTCCGGCGTCCTCCCCAGCCCCGATTATGCATCGGTTGGGTCCCTCAGCCTGGCCTGTGCCCTCTCGCAATCTGGGACCCCTCGGGGAACGTCAGAGAGCCTGGTTTCAGCCCGATCCCGCAGGCCAGGCCAAGGGACCCCACTGGTGCACAAATTTGTGCTCCGGGCCTCTAGTGAATACATAACAATGTGGGTAGTTAGAATGACCATTTCCTTCAATTAGCAAATATCCTATATAATAAAAGTGTAGTATGCAAATTGTCCCCTCGACCGGGAGTTCGACCAAGGGGTGGGGCCAGCCAGGGGAAGGGAGGGAGGCTCCAGCTGGCGGTGGCAGGCAGCCAGGGGAAGGGAGGGAGTATCCAGCCAGCAGCTGCTAGGGACCCTATCAGTGCACGAATTTTGTGCACTGGGCCTCTAGTGAATTTTATAATTTGCTAAATCTGACTTTATTTTCATGAACATGGTCACCAACCTTTCTCTGAAAGACTGTGTTGGAGACATGTGCCTCTTGCTGGTTGGACAGCCCCCACTGAAGGGGAAAACTTCATATTTCAGAATGACTCTTGGATGATGCTTTTCCATTTAGGAGTTAAATTTTCTTAAAAACTGGGTAGTAAGCTATACATCCAAAACTAATGCAGAATGCTGTTGAATGTAGGCTGTAATTAGGGGGGTGGGAGGGTGGCAAACAGGATTATTGCATTTCCATATGTATTTTAAATAAGTAAATTTTTTTTCACAGCCCTGACTGGTTTGGCTCAGTGGATAGAGCGTCGGCCTGCGGACTGAAAGGTCCCAGGTTCGATTCCAGTCAAGGGCATGTACCTTAGTTACGGGCACATCCCCAGTGTGGGGTGTGCAGGAGGCAGCTGATCGATGTTTCTCTCTCATCGATGTTTCTAACTCTCTATCCCTCTCCCTTCTTCTCTGTAAAAAAATCAATAAAATATATTTTTAAAAAAAATTTTTTCACAGTGGAAAAAAATGCTGGGCAACAAGAATTTTTTAAAATGGCTTTGTTATTTGTTAAAATCCAGGAAGAAATGTTAGCTCCTAATGACATTTGATCAGATGTTTTAATGGTGAATAGCAGTCATTTTAATGCTTTGATACAATAATAAAAACATTTTTCTTGCTTGTTTTTACCATCATGTGTACCAACAGTATGTATAGTACAAAGTAGATCTAGGAAAACACTTGCTAGGCTATTCCCCATTAATTTATACCTTTACAATTAATATATCATGCTCCTCACCCCCCAATTAGGAAAATGATGAAAGAAGCAGAGAGGAAAAAAATATATTGGTGAGTAGTTAGCATCTTACGAAAAAAAAATGTATTCTTCTCAGAAACCATAAGAACATACCTTCTGTGCTGCGGAGTGCTGAAACCACCAAACTGAACAGGCCCTTCTATACTCATCTTGTTTTAATAATAAGATTAAGAGTAAGATTCCACATTTATACACATTTTTTTAATGGCAAAGAATCTAGAAACTCACTTGTCCAGAGACACCTGCTCAGGCAAGAAATGCAGCCTGTGCTGGGAGGTGCCATTTCCTGGTTCTCCCCCAAGTCCTCCTGGGGGACAGCAGTGCTGACATATGACCCGGAGCCTAGGTCCCTCCAGGTTCCAGGTGCTGAACGCCAGCTCTGCTGTTACTTCTTGTCTTGTATCCTGTCAGGAGGAACATTTATTTAACCACTGTGTACCCTGTTAGCACACCTGAGTCAGTCCTAAGATCTGAACCACACTGGCCACTGCAGGGCCATACCCGGGGGCAGGGGCTCATGGCCGCCAGGCCCCCACCCCTACCCCGTCTCCAGCACAGTGTCCTCTTCTGGCGGTTCTGGACATCAGCCACAAATCCACTTCCCCACCTTATATAGAGGTGGAAATAACTGCGTTTCTATAGTATTGTCCACCTATGAAGATGTTTGTGCAAGTAAATGTGGATGTGGCCATCATGGGTTCCCCAGAGAAGGGAAGCACTTTAGGTGTTTATTGGCCTCTTTATTCTTCGGTACATTGTCTTCTCTATACTGTCATCTACTTCTAACATCAGCTTGATTTTATTCTCTCCTGTTTGAACTTTATATAGTGTTGGAACTGCTTCCTAACTTAAAGAAAATTAGCTCAAATGTTTTGGGGACAAAGGGGCAAGACTTCAGTTTAGGATTCTCTAACACCGTGGTCGGCAAACCTCGGCTCTTTGGCCCCTTGAGTGTGGCTCTTCCACAAAATACCACATGCGGGCACGCACCTACAGTGCGATTGAAACTTTGTGGCCCATGCGCAGAAGTCGGTATTTTGTTGAAGAGCCACACTCAAGGGGCCAAAGAGCCGAGGTTTGCCGACCACGGTGTTAGAGCCAAAGAGCCGCATGTGGCTCGCGAGCCGCAGTTTGCCGACCACTGCTCTAACACATTTGCCATATTTTTTATTTTAAACCAAATTGTCTCTCTAGACCTCATAAAATGACAAAGACTTGCTATTAAAGCACCTCACCAAAAAAATAAAGATAAAATAAACTAGTAATTTACACTACCTAAGCACTGCATA